TTTTTTTTTTTTCGCAGGTGGTTGAAAGTAAGGAACACGCTGATTCAATATTTGGAGATTTATAATTTATAATTGCATTATCGCATTATATGGTGAGATAATGTGAAGGAAATCATATCAAATCATGATATGTAAAAACAAATATGATCAGATTTATATCACATTATAATTATAATTGCATTAAAAAAGAATTTCATACAACAAAACACTTCAATTTAGGCGTAACATCTGATTTAATTTTGGAAGAAGTTTTTTTTTGTTGACCGATCAAAACTTTTTTTTATTGGTTTAGTAATAAGTAGTAAGTAATAGAATGCATTATATAAATAAGCAATAAGTAATTAAATAAAACTATTGATGTAAATAACATGCATTAATTGTCATTTGACTTTTCTACCTACTAATTTTAGTAAATGAGATGTCTTATCATATAAGACCTTCTCCAACCGTACTGCAAAACGCAAAAATTGCAGTACGGGGAGCTCCAACCGATCCCAAAAACTGATCGCAAATTGCGATCCCACCCCTCTCTCTCCTCAGATTGACGCATTTTTGCGTCTTAACGCAAATTTTGCGTTTCTTTTTTTTTTTTTTTTTTTTACATTTAGGTCCTTTAAATTTGTTTAATTTATAAATTGATTTTTGTTTTTTTGATTTTCTTTATTTAAACAATCTTTAAAATTGAATATTAAGTTTAAATAATATATTTTTTTTAATTTCGTGAAAATTATAAATATGATATTTAAAATAATTAATATGATATTATTTTATATTTGTTCATAATAAAGTAATTATACATATTAATGTTAATTTTTTTCACAATAATGTAAAATAGTAATATAAATTATTTCATAAAAATTAAATAGTATAATATTTAAAATGATAAATATTATATTTATCATTTAATTTTATATATTTCACAATAATAATGCAAAATATACATATTATTTATGGTATTTTTATTAAACAATAAAAGAAAACACTAATTTGAATATAATAGTGTGGTTTAATTTGTAAAGTTGTAAAATATGTGGGTAGTATTGAAAAGTTGTGAAAGTTGATGTAAAAGAGAATATTCCGAGAATATTCTTTTGGGTTGGAAAATAGGTTTTTCGGTTGGAGATGAATTACTGCAAAATGGGATGTGTACTGCAAAATGGGTTTGAGTTTGGTGTATTCGGTTGGAGATGGCCTAAGTATAGATTCTACATATATAAATGCAGATTTTTTCAGTTTTTACTTTTTAAGGGTCAACTTTCAATTTTGTTTTTTTTTTTCCAAAATTGTCCAACTTTTTATTATTTCATTATTTTATGTCTCAATATTTTATGGACAAGCGAGTCTTCTAGGTGATTAATGTCAAATAAAACAAAAAACAACAAATAATTTGAAAATTTAAGATGAAAAAAATATATTCCTTAAATATGAAAAGAATATTTAATACTTATTTTGTAGCATTACTAGTTAGAAAAATAAAGAATTGGTCACTAAATCCTACGTACCACTAATAAAGCATAGTATCTCATTTGTTTGCTAGTTGCTACTAGTGCTATAAACAAATGGAGTCGAACATTGACCTTATCGAATCAGACATAACCGTATCAGCATTTGCTGGTGGGGTGATGTTGGCACAGGGCTTTTTCGCAGAGGGACTTTGCCTTTAAAGCTTTTGGCCTTTTGCCCCCACACACTTTTAAATCACATTCAAAATAAAGACTAAAGTGTAACGACATAATTAAAAAATAAATAAAAAACAAAAAAATACCACCATATGAAAATTTATAGTATTTTTTCTTCTAAATTTATTAATACAACTTTTTATTATTATTATTATTATTATTATTATTATTATTATTATTATTATTATTATTATTATTATTATTAATTATATAGTTAGGAATTTCTCTTTTCTATTAATTTTATTACTATTTACCACATTTGTTAATGTCTTGTAAGTTGTTGTATTCACGTTATATGTGTAAAAAATATTGTGGGTATCCAACTATGAAATATATTAAAACTTTCTTGTTTATCAAGGATTAAGGATCAAGACCTCACGCTCAATCAAATTCGCTAATTAATTTATCGGTAATAAATTATTTGATTAATTTTTGTTATTTCTTTTCAAAACGATATTATGAAATATATATATATATATATATATATACAAAGAAAGAAAACAACTTTTTAAATGACGGTTAAAAAGGGTAAAATTATGAATTTTCGCTATTTATCAAACGTTATTTAACAAAACGCCAACTGAAAAAAACTGGTAAAAAAAAAAAAAAAGTTATTCAGCCGACATGGAGAGAAAAGTCCTGGGAAATGGCTTCCGCGTCCCACGACGTTTTGATTTTAGGTTCCGCTTTAGTTTGAGTTGAGCAACCGAGTGTGGTTTGCCGCTCATCATTTTGATTAGCGAGTGAGGGACCGAATTGTGGTTACCCACTTTGCTTTTGTGTGCCACGAAACGATTGATGTATAATCAATTTTGATCTATAAAATTTATTTACCGATAAAAAAAAAAAAAAAAGTTATTCACTATCTACTGATACAATCAGTTATCAATTATTCGTATAACCTGAATAATGTGGAATAATATAGTAAACAAAAATTAAAATTTTCTGTGGCTGCTGGGATTCGAGCCCAGGTCTCCACCATAGCCACCCACGGCCACTACCTGGAATTCTTACCACTAAACTACAGCCACTTTATGTTTACAAGTTTCACGATTTACCATCTAAACCTCGTATACTAAAACCCCAGTTTATTAACGACCCCATCTTTAGGGTTTTAGGAGACAAAAAAAACCAGAGACAAACTCGACGAGCAGCTCAGTTGCAGCAGAAACACTACAGACAATGAAATCCATTAGAGCTATCCGAACTCTAATGCCCAGGTAGTCGGAATTTGTTTTTCAAATTGTTGTCCTTTTTCTCTCTCGAACTTTCACGTGTTATTTTTACTTCTTTTTTTTGTTTGTTTTTTTTTTGTCCCCTTTTTTTGGATTAATAACAAGCTTTTCCGGTAGGTTGCAGGCGGCGCTGGATTCAGGCGTTGGGAGAACTTATTACACATCTCCTGCCGCGAATTTCCAGTCGGCGAACTCCAATGGAGCGGCTGGTCTGTATCATTTTCACAAATTTCACTATTATAATTAGCTTACAGTACCAAAGTATTCAAATATTTTATTGCCAAAGTAGATGGATTTGTCCGTAATAATGTGGAATTACTGGAAAAAATTTTATATTTTTTTTTCCTGTTCGAAAGGGTGACTTTTGATTGCCCATCATGATGTTTTCTGATAGGTGTTATGGTTGAATTTGGTGGGCTCGTGAATGGAGCCATCGCTCGTTCTGGGTCGGCCTCTGGAGCTTCTATGGTCAATACGGCGAAGATTACAGTTCCCGGCTATGCCAGGTCATTTGCATCGTCGAGTTCAGAGTTGAGGCGAAAAGGATCTTCCGAGGTTTCGTTTCGATATCCTAGAAAGTTTGAAATTTCGATACCTTGTGATTCAGCAAGCACATTGAAGAACCTAGCCGAAAAAAAAAAAAAATTGAATTGTTGTATTTTTTATCACGTTTTGCTTTAGATTGTGTTTTTCACCTTATGTTCAAGCCCTTGTGATAATCAATCAACTAGTTAATAACTGTTGTCCAGGAGATGATGATACTAGTCTAAAACCAGTGTCTATGTAATGAAATAGAGCTCATTTTCTCTTTGTGTTGTTCCCAAACCAGTCTAGTTATAATTATAGTGGTGTTGGAGAATTAAAATGATTTACACAGATAAAGTAAGTTCGAACAACAAGCAGATTTAACGTCTGGTTCAGTCGATAACCATGAAGATTGAAGAAGTAGGTAGGAGTGGGTAGATTTTGTTGCAAGACCCATTTGTAAATAATATTTTATTCATGATATTCGTCGATGTTGTGTTTTAGTTACCAATTAATTTGTAAAAAAATATTTTATTCATCATATTCCTCGATTTTGGAATATGATGAATAACTTCATTGGCTAACGAATCCTTGTTAATCCTTAAACAGGCTCGAAAAGATGTTTCGAAAATTGAGGATCCATTTGATGCTCCAACGTACAACATACCTGAGAGGCCCGTGACATTCACCGAGGGAGCTTCTTACAGTGTCGTCATCTTAGCTGGTCTCGGGATTGCAGCTGCTGCAGGATATGCTGTTCTCAGTGAACTTATCTTCGAACCCAAAGAGTAAGGATTCCAATTTCAAGTAGGCTTTTCATTTTCATTTTTGTTTTTCTTTTCTCATTTTGTTTTGACTCAATTTCAGTAAGCAAAGAATTCCATATCTTTTGTAATAAACTAAAAGTGTTATTTTTTTTTTCTCTTTAGGTACAAAATATTTGGGAAGGCTCTTGAAAGAATTCAAAACGACAGTCAGGTTTTGACTGTGCTCTTTCAATATTGATTTAAAATCTATTAACCCTCTGGGACATTGTTGGGTGAGATAGAAATCGACCGAGAGTTCTAACATGACTATACAGCTTTAGCAGTCGATAAAAGTAGCCGCTTTTGATATTCGACAATTAAGAAAGTTGTTTATTAGTCAAAAGTGTTGATATATTCTGTGATTAGATTGGATTAAGGATTAAACTGAACTTATCCCTCTAACAGGTGAGAGTAAGAATCGGATCTCCTGTTACTGGCTATGGCCAAGAAAGCATGAATCGCGCTGCTCGCCAACGAATCCCGAATCGCACGTGGACAGATGAAGATGGCAATGAGCATGTTGAGGTGTGTAATATCTTTCATTCGATCTTTTGGCTTCACTCTCTTCCAGTCGAGAGTTTCTTGATCCTGTAATATTCTAATAGCTAATGTATTTATACACAATCGAGCAATAATTAAAGGCCTTTTGTGAACTGGCGAAAACTTCAACTTTTCTTAAAATTCGAGGAATTAAATTCAGGTTAACTTCTATGTTCGTGGTCCGCACGGAGCTGGAAAAGTCGGGGCCGAGATGTTCAAGGACAAGGCTGACAAGAAATGGAAGTTCACTTATTTGATTGTTGATATCACAGCACCTTCTCATGTAAAACTGCTGCTTGAGTCCTATGTCCCAGCCTGATTTCTTTTTTTTTTTTTTT